CTGCTGACAGGAGTTATTCCCTGCACAACAAGAGCTGCTGCTTGGACACATTTAGTTTCAGCAATTACAATTTAAATATCCCCAGTTTTCCATTTCATTTCTGCCTCAACTTTTCCACTCAGTCTCTTCCTAGCACAGGTTTGGGTCAGTTTGGCCAATAGACCAACTGAGGAATTACCCAATGTTTTCCCAGTTTAACCCCTCTCACACCAATCACCTTAACAGTGCCAGTCCTTAATTCTCCCTCTCTTGTGTTAAGGACTGAGGAAGTTGGACCTGTGTCTGAGTAGGACATGTGCAAACCAAATGGTGGGGACTGGAACACACACCTTGCACTCCTGGAGCTCTTACAGTCACATTCCAGAGAAAACAGCCAATTGCACCATCACTGCTCATTTCTTAATCCCAATCCCACCCTTCTTTGGCACTTGGAGCACCACTTTTATCACCCAATTACAGCCCATTAGGGAGCTCCATGTCTAGCAGGGACAGGTACCCCTGGGATACTCTGAGCAATGCCTGAATCCACTGCAGGGACCTTGCTTTGAGCTCCCCAGGGCCGGGCACCCCGAGGATCTCCCCGAATAATCCTTTCGGTGCGCGCTGGAGTCCTCGGGGTGCCCCAGCCCGGGGGGCACCAACAGCACTGTCCCTCCAGGGGGCCCAATTTGCTCCCAAGGCTTCAATGCACAGCCCAAAAGGCATTTCAAGAGGCCTTCTTGGGAACCCACCAACGTGGACGGGGAGGAAGCCACAAGAAGGCCTCATTTCTAAAGGCAGGGGGATCTTGCCTGTGTCCCAGACCGCTCCGGGGATCTGAGGCCCTTCCCGAGAAAATCTCGGTGCCGGCGTGAAGGCCCAGAGATCCCTTGGAGCCACGGGAGAGCAGGCACAGAGTCCCTCCTGGGGGCCAATTTGGCTGCCTGAACTCAGCTCTTCAAAGAAGCCTCTAAGACTCAGCTGGTGAGTTTTAGAAGCCAGGTATTCCTACACACTCTCAGATATTTTAAGAGCTTCCTGAGTGAAAAACATAGAGCTCTGATTAGGGATATCTGACCTCAAACAGACAGCTCCTTTCCCCTTTCAGTACAAAATTATTTTCAGAGAATCATTTAATAGGAAGTGCCCAGGAATCCCAGACTGTGCTTTCCAGAACAGAAAATAAACAGAGTGAAGGAGCTCTGCACAAGTGTAACACTCCAGAACAGACCTGACTTTAGTTTTTCTCTTTATGTTCAGTTACAGCAGAAGACAAAAACTCCACCAGGAGAGCTGGCACATTACCCATGGTACCCTCAAAGTCTATCTTACAAGGGCTGTAGGAAAATCACAGCTGTACGAGTCCCTTGGGCCTGCAGATGCCTGGGGATCCTCTCCATCCACCTCGTGCTCTCCCAACAGCAGAAAGGGTGACCTCAGGGACACGGTGGCACTCGACACCCTGCTGAGAGAGCAAGGAAACCTTTAGCCTAAAGGTGAGTTGGAATTTAAAATTTCCTTTCCTGGGAGCTTTGTGAAGCCTGCAACCAGAGGGGGAAAATTTGCATCTCCTTTGGTGCAGGTGTCAACAGAGGCCAACAGAGCTTTCACCTTTTTCAGACAACTGTGCCCTTTTTGGCTCCCTGGCAGCTCCAATGGCACCAGAACCCCCTTCCTGCACACCCACGGGTGTCACACACAGGCACCCACACACCTTTGCTCCAGCCCACACGTGGCCAACATTTCCTCACCCTGGACATCCCAAGGGGAGTATTTCTGCTAGAGAGCACAGCAACTCCCTGTCCTTGCCAACTGCCTCCTTGAAAAAAGGGAACCAATTGTCCTGCACGTTTCTCCAACACTCAAGGTCTTTTGAAGCTGCTCTCATGGCACCAAATCTGCTTGGGGTCTCTCCCAGCTGTTGGCTGTCCTCGGAGCTAACAGGCATACACTCTATTCCATCCTCCCACAGCCAAATTCCCTTCTCACTGGTAGGACGGGCCCTGCCCTTACCTGTGTGAACTCCCGGGCTCGGCACAGCCGTGGGTACAGAGCAGCTTCCCAAGGCAGCTCCCGCCCGGCAGGAAGCACAACTCGCCACACTCCACCAGCCGCTGGGCACTGAACTGAGCTGAGCCCCAACTGAGGGCACAACTGGACAGAAAAGGAGCAAAAAGCATTAATGTAGCACCAAGAAACTGAGACCAGTCTTTGCCTCGTAACCCTGCACGGGGAAAGGCTTTGGGATTCCAAAGCAAAACCTGAGACACCCAGAGAGCACCAGCCCCGCAGCCCTGCCACGGCTCCCCCCGGGGGCACCCGGCAGGTAACGCGCTTACCCGGCCCCCGCCGCCCAGCACAAGGCGCCCCTAAACGCCCCCCGGCTCCCCCGGTCCATAAACCCAGCGGCCAAGGCGCTCTCCCCTCCGCAGCCCGGGCAGCAGCGGGGCCGCACCCTCAGCCCTCACACACAACCGCCCGCACCTGCCCCGCCGGCCCTTCTATACCGCGGGCCGGCAGCGCTGCCCAATCAGCACTCGAGCGCCTCCGCCCAATCGCAGCCCGCCTGTCCCTGCGGCCCCGCCCCGCCCGCTCCGCCGGCCCCGCCCCTCGGCGCGGCCCCGCCCCCCGTTCCCTCAGCGCGGCTCCCGCCGCCGCCGCAGCCCCGGCGGGCGCTGCTGGGGCCGGGGAAGGGCGGGTGGGAGCTCCGCGGGCACGGCCCGGCCGGGAGCTCTCCCGGGACAAGGGGAGCGGGGACAAGGGGATAGCGGCGTCCTTGGGGGCGGGCCGGGGGGCGGGGCCGGCGCGATCCCGCGGCGCTTCGCTCTGGGCTCTGGGGCTGTTTCGGGCTGGTTTGGGGTGCGGGTTTTGGGGCACTGCGCACACCCTCCCCTGGTCACAGCTCCCTGCGCTCCCCGCACCCCTCGCTCAGCTCCGCGGGAATTTGTGCCTCCTCTGAAGGTGGCAAATGTCTGCAAAGCCAGCCGGGAAGCCAGAGAGCTGCAGCCCCCGGGCCCCGCCGCGGCTTCCCCGCCGTCACCCGGCACCTCCCGCCCGTCCCGCCCCGCAGCACCGCCCCCC